AGCCGGCTCGAGTTTGCAACTATGCTGGGTATGTGGCGCGATTTTGGTGCCAACAAACGATCACCAAATCTGTTCTGGATTTGGTGTGTCACTTTGGCTTTGCTTTGCTAGTGGCAGACTTGTTGATTTTGATTTCATTTTGACATCTCACATGTTTGACAGATATGGACGCCAAACCATATCCTAATGAGGACACAGATGGATATGGATTTGGTCTACTAATTTTGCCGGCGGTTGGCGACAAAACCGCGACATTTCGCAACCAAATTGTTTGCTGTGTGTGTGTGTGGGATGATTATTATAAATTATAATATTATAATTATATCTTAATAGCCAAGCATGTTTTGCAAAATGATGTAACTTAATGCTGAGCTGAAGTTTTCAAGTAGTTGCTGTGTATTTGCTGAACACATGATGCATAGTCATACGTAATTCACAACACGAAGGCAAATTTGAGACATTTTGTGTCAGCAGATTCAGAGCAAACGAAGAGCAACTATTCCTCATTACGTTGTCAACAAAATGACTTTTATTCACAGAAAATTCTTTGCTTTGTCATTCGTTTTCGGCAACATAAGAGCAACATGACGTTAATAAAACAAGACACCAATGTCTGTACTTCTGTCGTATGGTTGGTAAAAACTGCTGGCATATATTTATTCTATCTTGTAGCCCATTAAATATCGAAAACGAATGACCGTCTTTTAGAATAAGTAGACAAAAATAATTATATTTTAGTAAGGAACAAGTGGTCTCGCGGACTGAGTGCAGGAATTGCAAATATGAAGGTCTCGAGTTTCAAATCCCACCCCCCATCACCTTACGATTTTTTCCGGATCCGGTAACTTTCATCGAGTTAATCAGTTGATCGACGAACTAAATCAGATTTCCAAAGATTAATTTGAGTGAAATCTCGAATTAATTAATTCCCCTTTCACAAAGCGATGTGTCAGTAAATATATATTTGTTCGTTTTTGACATATTGTATTTTTGCTAAAATTTATGACATGTGTTGTTGGCAACTTGTTGTCATGTTGCTCTTTATGTTAGTGATAAACCGATGACAGCAAATACACAGCAAGTTGTCGGCAACACATGTTGAATACATGTTAAACCAAAGACAAATGCCTGACTCACCTTGTTCTAAATTTGCTGAAAACTCAAGCGTTTTGTTTTCGNCAACATAACAGCAAAAACACAGACAGGTGGCTATCAGGGTAGATATTACATGATGAAGTGTGTTTAAATTGTCTAAAAAAAAAGTCTAAAATGTGTGTCTTTGTTTATTTTAAAAAATCATCATACTAACACACGCAAATCGAACATGAAAAAGTACGTTGTTTTCCTAAAAGAGCTGTCACGTTTATTGAAACTGGTATGTATACACGAGTGGCACACTATTTAAATTTATATTTATCATTTACAACGCCTCTCTTGTTGTATAATACCGTACGTTGCAGTTCAAGTTAATGAGCAAATTGAGCTTTTTATGCTTCAAAATTTCTATTTTTTTAGTAATCTCTCTACTGGTCCAGTGCGTAGTTAATTTTTCTTTCTTTCACTTGTTCACTTATTTTTTCACTCATTCTCTCTCATTTCTAGCGTATATAATATCTTTATATGCATAATATATATTCTTTGTTATAGATACACACAAACATACATATCACACGTACACATACACGTACGTACACATTTACATATATGTACATACACAAATCTTCGTCGTTTGTTTATTTGAATAATTTAAAATCATTTCTGCAACATCCTACGTGTACGCTATGTGTATATAGCATTTTATTATACATATATATATATATATATATATATATATTCTCTATTTTTATGTACGTATATAGTACTATATAATATATAGTATAAAATATATATACCTAGCAAACACACACACACATTTTGGTTACAAAACCATATCCATCTGTGTCTTCAGTAGGACATGGTTTGTTAACCATGTCTGTCAACATGTGAAATGTCAAAATGCAACCAAAATGATGACAGTCTGCCACAAGCAAAGCGAAGCCAAATTATCGCCAAAGTGAAGCCAAAATCCGGAATAGGTTTGGTCATTGTCTGTTGGCGCCAAATTGCTAACAGTCCGCACGTATACACGAACAGACTGCTTGACGTTTGGTGGCAATCCGTCGTCAATGCGTTTAACAGATCGACCCGACTTTTGTCGTAAACAGATTTCTGGTACAATTTTGCGGACTGTTTGCAATTTGGCGCCAACAGACAATGACCAAACTTATTCCGGATTTTGGCTTCACTTTAGCAATACTGTTTGGTCACAGTATTGCTAAAAGCAGATCTGCTTGCAATCGACCATCTATTTGTTGTTAACTTCACTGACATATGGAATCGTTTTAGCTGCAATACTCTCATGTATTTATTAACAGAGTTGTTGCGTTTTTTCTTTCTGTGTGCTAACAATTTTGGCAGTGTTTCCGTATTGTAGCATTTCTGCAAACAGTTTCTGTTACCAAAGTCTGCGCCGAAATTGTCAAAAACAGAAATTGTTTGCTGGGTATATATAGGAAGTGTATTCAGAATTTTTTTGACAAATTTCCACAACAATGGAATGTTAAAATACTTATTACATATGTATACACTATTAATACAGTACATTTATTACAAATGACAAACACTATATAATAATTAAAATAAATTATTAAATTCATAAACTTTCTAAATAAATTTGTGCTACATACTAATAGCATATAAATATAGTATTGATAAATATAGAATTTAAAAAATGTTTAGTTTTATATCGAATAATAGTCACTAAAAGTTATTAATGTACACACACATATATATATATGCGTAAATGTGTGTTTTATAATGAGTTCTCGGATGTGTTGTGTTATATATACACTGTCTTCAAGAATTCTTTAGAATCTTTGTATGTTAATTCTTTAGAACATCGGCAATGAAATGATCAAGCTTATCAAGCAAAATGATCGATGTTTCATTCGTTCTCTTGAATTTTACAATAATATCTTTATATGTTTTATTTTACAAGTATTATTATTTAAAATAATAAAAAGGAATAAATATAAATACAAAATTCAAACGTGCACAAATGATGTTAATCTCTTTTGTTTTAGAATATTGCTTCTAAATATATCACCTGACGATCTAAATTCAACTTTGGATTTTTCTCTTATTATATTTCATTCTCTTATAGTATACAAATATTGTATAGGTTGAAGAAAAATAAATATATACACGAAAAATATGTTTGTGTTGACATTCCATACTAAATATGAGAAAATTGCGAATATAAACTGTATATTAAATTAAATTAAACACTAAATAATTAATAAAAATTATCAAATATAATTTTATAAAAATTCAAGTAATAAAAATTATCAGACATAATTTTATAAAAATATATACAACATATTATTTTACATGAATATGTGTATAAAATATAATACGTATATAATCTTAAGCGATAAAATCAAAAATATCAAATATATAAAAACCAAGAAGCCGCAGGAACGAGGTTGACAGTTGAAATGAATCGTGTAAAGCAATCGTGTTAAGCTATAAAGATAAAGAAATTTCTTTTTACAGTATCTGAAATCAAAAGATGAAAGTTTTATACAGGATGTAAAAAGTATCGGTACCGCGAAAAATCTCGAAAACTAGGCATTTTATAAAAAAGTGTTTCAGATAACAGTTATAAGGTTTAAAAGGATCAATTTACTGATTGTATCAGTGTAACCTTGCATGGTGTTTCCAAGGTCGGATCAAAGTTACTTTAAATTTTTTTAATGGATCTCTATTTTAATGGATCTCCATTTTTTATTGCAGACTCTTATAGCTTAATTCAAGAGCTTTCCAAAACACTATAATAAAGTTTATTTTCATTAAGTACTTTTTAAATTATGAAGGTTGAATATTAGAATACCGCCGGTACTTTTTCTACGGAGATGATTTTGATCGAAACGAATTCTGTGAGCTCATGATGCAGAGAATTGACAAAAAACCTAACTTCCTACTTAACATAGTTTTTTTGGACAAAGCAACATTCGAAATGAATAATAACATCAATAGATAATGCTAATACCGACTACTTTAATATACAATCCTCATAAGACAAAAAGTACTTAATGAAAATAAACTTTATTCTAGTGTTTTGGAAAGCTCTTGAATTAAGCAATAAGATTCTGCAATAAAAAATAGGATGTTTTATTTAAAAAAATTTAAGGTGATCTTGTCCTGACTTTAGCGATGTCATTCAAGGTCAAACTGATAAGACCAGTAAATAGATTCTTTAAAACTCTACAACTTTTATCTGAAACACTTTTTTGTAAAATGTCTAGTTTTCGAGATTTTTCGCGGTATTTTTCATACTTTCTATATAACAAACTGATATGAACACAATTCTTTTTGCATTCGAAAAAGGCAGTACATTTATCAACTCTTGTTTTCTCTCGCTGTAACCACTATATTTTCAATTATAGCATCAGAAACAAATTTTTATCATGTTGTTTATCTAAATTATTTTTTATTTTGATACAAAACTCACGATAAAAATTTATATAATTTCTTGTTTTTCTGACGTTATATAATAAGGCTCAGCGAGAAAAATAGAAGTTTTAAGCTCCGTTACAAAAAACACCGCGGATCTCGCGTACTTTTTGGAGCTGATTTTTTTATTCTACGTATATTTTAATCAGCCTGACATGTTATTCTCCAGTACAACTATACACTTTATTACTCTTAAATAATCATTCAATTAATTCTGTTATTTATATATTCTAAAAGAGAATAATCTTTTATATGTATATATTATATGTATATATATATATATATATATATATATTCGTAAAATTCGCACTTTGTCTTTTGCTCTCTAAATCTCTAATCTCTATAGTATATATATGTATATATATTTTTTCATCTTTTTGTTAGAATTTGCGAGAGAAAATGTATGAGTTGCTCTCTTTTTATTTAGTCAATCTCTAAAATAATTATCACTATGTAAACGCATTTTTTTTCAGGTAATGATAACGTTCGAAAGATATATTATATTTTTCGCACAATTCAGTTAAGTGCTACATATTTTGAGATTTACTTTCCGTCGCGATAAGATGACTTAAAAATCTAAATATCTACATAGAAATGATGAGAGTGTACGTGTGTTCTTACACGCAATGTAATTAAACATATGTGAGTACAAAGGATTATCACAAACAAGTACATCATTATCGCACGAACAGAAGACATTCGGTGGTGAAGTAGATTTGTTTCGTTCCAAATCGACATATGTATAGGTATGTGAGAACGAACCGAGCGAGTCATGCCGGAAACGAATGCGAAGAAAGGAAGAAGCACGTAGCAAAATTTCGAAAAATCCGCCACTCGCGACTCTATTATGGCACCACAGGGGAAGATTCCTTTTATTAGTAGAGTAAGTCATTGGACGGTGAAACAGAATTAATGTCGCTAGACAGTCGTCTCCCGGTCTACATGGATATACTCCACGAAACCGGGTGGCTGTTGTCAGGATGCCGCGCCGAGGAGCGTCTCTTCCGTCGGTGCTCGTCGCGGCTTCTTGCTTTTCTTCGTCCCTTTGTAATGAAGTCTCTTTGTGCGAGCTTTAGATCTAGAAGGAGAACACAAAGCAAAGACAAAATTGTTTCATTTAACTTCTGACAAAACAATTTTTATATTAATTTTTTTACTTTTCGATGTTTGCGTTACCTGCTAATAAGAATAGTAAATAGGCACGCAAAGGCAGTGACAATTCCAGCGACGCCAGTCACAACGAGCCATATAGTAGGCTTCAGCAATCCAAGAAGACGGGCTCCATTACCGCAGTTGGCCTCGTCGTGACCTGATGGACAGTGTGCGTGACCGTCGCACCAGAGACTGGCGGCTATGCACGCACCCAGCTCGGGACATTTGTGCGGACAGTCTCCGACATGTAATGGCATGCCGTTCGTATCGTTCTCCATTATGCCCACGCCACTTCTGTCCGGAAGACGTAGCTGGCGGCGTAGCGCCGCACGACTCTTGGAAATTTCCAGCCAAGAGGCAGCCGCCTGGCCGGATTCTCGTGCCACGAAGTCGAGTAACAGAGCGGGCGGTCTTGGTGGACCTGGCCATTTGCCTTCTTCGATGGAACCTAGCCATTCCTCGGAGAATACGTGCACGGTGAACTCGCGTGCACCAGGTTCTGCAGGACACACCACTTTCAGCAACTTTGGCGGCCAGCCGGAATAGAGGAGGATGCGATTAGTGGTCGGACATTTGACCTGATCACCGCCACCGCTGCCGGACGAGGAGTCGGAACCGACGACAAGCGGTTCCAACGGCAGAAACCAGCCCCAGGTTAGAACAAAAAGCGAACGGTTCTCGCGCGCCTCCACGAGCCACGGAAGGCCCTCGCAGTAGATGTCTGGTCTTGACAGTGGAGGAGTCACGAATCTCAATTCGCCACCCTCGCCGCGAATTCTTTGCTTACGCGGACACTCCGGTACGCGAATGAGTTCAAAGCTGGCATAAAAGAAAAGCGTCTCGAAGTCTTCATGAGGCGCTTGCTGATCTATCAAGAAGGTGATCTCCAGTGCCCGGCTTGAAGATATGTATGTGAGGGGCAAATAAGACGTGTTATCGCACAGACATGCTCGGGGCAGCCTCACATCTCTCCACGGCGCTTCGTAAATGACCAAACGTGCCTCTCTGGATCCTACTTCCTGAACACAGCGCGGTCTACCGGTGTGCGGATCCGAATCGCTCATGCACATAGTAGATTCGCCTAGACTGACATTGTGCAACGTCAGACGGATCCGCTCGCCGGTACTAGCTTCTACGCGATATCTAGAATCAGCAATGATATCAAAGTAAATCGGCATTCTAATCAAATTCGAATATCTGCTTGAAAACTAGTAAAATCTTTCTATTTTATTAAATTTTAATTTACTTGTTAGATATATTTGATTTTATGTTTAAAATACAGCGTATTCCAGCGTATTTCCATCCAACAGAGCAAAAATTAAAAAAAATTAATATTTACTTGCAATCCAATTTATTGGAACCACCACGGCCGAACAGACGTACATCGCGCGGCGACATTATCTCACCGGTGTGCGCCTTGCGCCATACCCGACTGCAGACACCTTCGCCCCAAGATTCGCCGGGTTGAATGGTAGAGATGAATTCGTATCGCGCCTAACAAAAAATCTCAAAAAATAGTAAGAATTACAAAACGCGTTGACCTGAAATAAATAAATGACTTGTTACTTACGTGAAAGTTAACTGGATGAAGAGCAGTACCTAAAATAGTCTCCATGCGTAGAATCAGACTTGGTGCGTTGGTCAAATAACTCTCATCTTCGGTACATGGTCTCGTGCTTCTGGTGATGTTCCGGAGTGCCGCGTGGGCGCACAATTTGGGTGTATCGTCGCACAAAGTGGCCATTGGTTGGCCAGTGTTTGGTGCGCCATCCCAGAACACGAGTTTAATGGCGCATAGTGACGAGCTATCCGTCATGGATTGTCCAGCGCTTGCATTGTTCTCACCGTTGCCGGTCAGATCGCGTTGCGAATACGATGAGAAATAAATCCATATACGGTCGCCGGTGACGCCTTTAATGTTCCATGTACAGCTGGAACCGGGCGGTAATGCGTGCAAAGGCGCGCGTATTATTCCGCTTCGCTTGGCGCCATCACCAGTACCATTAATAAAGAAGTGACAGCCCTGCGTGCCCTTCGCGTAGTCCAGACCGTCCGAGTCAACATAGACTACTCGTAGCTCGAGCTCGAGTCGCAGTGCTGACGCGCCCAATGGTATCGCCACAGCGGAGCTACGGAATTCGATCTGCATCGCAGGTCCGCGTGCGGTTACCTGGGGGAGCGGACCACCGCAATACACCAGCAGCACCGGGTCTTCCATGCGCGCGCCATCGCGGAATATCAGACGATCCTTCTCTGGCGGACAGTCTTGCCAAACGCTGAGACTCGTGTTAGCGGCGGTATTGAGACCAATCGAGCTAGTGGGCGTGTATTTGACGGAGATCATAGCGTGTTTGCATGTAGGCACTTCCTTCTGACGCACGGTAATCAAGCAGCTGGCGTTGCGTGGATACTCGCCCGGGTAGTTGGGACTCTGCAGGCGGCACTGTTTTAAATGACACTCGTAGAAGTTGCGAGAGCAGTAGGTGCCCGGTACAGGAGAACCCCGTTCGATTGGCAGTTCCGGTTTGCCCAGTCGAGCGACTGCCTCATTGCGCGCGACAAAACGGTAACGAAGACGGAATTCGAACGGCACTGTGGATGGCGCATGGAAGAGCCTGATAGAAGCAGTAACCGTGCTAGTTTCACTGTAATAATAACACCAAAAATTAAACATTTATGAAAAAGATAAATAAATCGCTCATCTGATCAAACAGTATTATAAAAAAGTATTATAAAGAACGAGAGTCGAAAAGAACCTGTAGTAGGACGCACGACTCTCTCCGACTCCACACCAGGAGCCGCCGGTGAAGTGTCTGCCAAGTTCGGCAAGCTGGAGCGAGCCCTCGGGACAGCTGGTAAAGTAGTTGTCGGCATTAATGTCGACGCGGCCCACGCTGAACGCGTCCCATAGCAACTGCACCAGTTCGCCGTAGCCCTGGCCGGCCGCGGTGAACGTCAGGTGACAGAGAAACGGCAGCCGCTCTTCGGAAGGTCTTGGCAAGTCCAGCTTGTACGTGCGTCCTTCGCGGCCGTGATAAGTGCGATTGCACGGTGTGCACATCGCAGGCTCGTCGCTGCTGTCGCCACAGTCATCCACGCCGTTGCAGTAAGCGTCGATCGGCACGCAGTGGCCGTCGCGACACGTCAGCTCGGCTAAACCGCAGGTGCCGCCGCTACCGCCGACGCCGCCACCTCCGCCGCTTGACGTATTAGCGCTCAACAACAGCAACAGCACCGAGATGATACCAGTACAATAGAACGGTTGTCTATTGTTGTTATTGGATCCTCCTCCAGCATCAGCTATCTCCTGCTCATTAAAAACCAAAAATATATGTATATCTGTATATAATTTGAAGAAAATTCTATCTATATGAAATCTTTGTGGATATTCTTTGTGATATATTTAAATTATGAAATTGTTGCATACGCGCGTTAACTATTATAAAACAGTCGCAGTAATTTTTCACACATTTAAAACAGGTTTTAATGATACTGCGTGACATATCACACAAGAATTAATGCTAAACTACGAACTGCGAGTTAATTGTATTAGTGTCACCTTGTATTAAGCGACCGAGATTTAAATCGATCGGCCCGATATCTTTCGACGTATCATAAATATCTGTTTCACTCTTAACAGTCGTCTCTTCTATCACATACACATTTATCAAATATAATAAAGAGTAATCAATTACCATAATAATCTATCAGCGAAACATGCATATCACAGTTACAATTCTGACAATGCGACTCGGATGTTGGTGAACGACAGCATATTGGTTCGACGATGAGAAATACGAGCTAGATTAACGATAAAATATCACGGATCGCGATTGGCAGTGATTATCAGCACCAATAACGACATTTCCCACGGCTTTGATCGTGAGACAACAACAACGTCGAGTACTACTTCTCGCTGGAAGAAAGACAGATACGGAGAAAGTGAGGAACCCCGCCTATACGTTGCCACCGATGCTACACTCACGAGGAGTGTCACCCACCCACTCGCCCGCTCGTCGTGCACACCCCAGAGGTCGATGCGCAACTGCACGCTATCACATACTTTCCCTGGAGGGAAGGCAGCCACCGTGCGCGCCGCTGCTGCAAGCCATACACCACCAGAGCAGGGGGCAAATGAAGAACGGGGTTGAGCTCTCTGCGCTTGGCGAAGGAGAGCCTCGCCTGCCTGGCTGGCTGCTAGGCGCCTCAATGCATCGATCCACTCCCGCTCTCGTTCTCGTCTCTTTTTCTCACACGACTCACCGTCTATAACACTCTGTCGACACGCATTGAGAGTCGAGAGCGAGGGGTTAAAGCACTCCAGAATTCTTGTTAGTCAATCAGATCGGATCAAACGGATTTTGCAACGCATCGCTTGCACACTTCTTTAGCTTGGAATCGTATATATTAATGTACAGGTTTTCTAGTATAAAAAAAATAGAAATTTGTGGGTGTGATGCTCGATCTTAAAAGAATCACGTTTATCGTTTTTGGGAAAGTCCAGATGTAATACATTTCAGAGACAGATGCAATCCCAAATGTATAATCTTTTCGAGAATAGACGTAGTTCAAGCAACCTCTCCCAATCCTAAACTCATAAATCCTAAGTATAGTTACGCTTAAATATGCATAATATCTCAGATAATGAAGACTGAATGAGCATATTTTACAAAGTCTGTAATAATACATTTATACCAGAAATCAAACGTAATCTGTTATTTCAACTAGTGTCGACAGAAAAGCAGAAAAAAGAGAATATAAATCTGTCACGCCGTGATGCAAATATATTATTGCATCTATCAAGTAGAACTTGCTTAAATAAATGTATGCAGATTTGTGTGTGTGTGAAGCATAACGTGCTATTGTCTTCATTTATTTCTATATTTTCGCTGTGTTGCTTTCCTTGCATATCGTGCCTATACAATTCACTCATATGACACAGCTGAGTGGAATCTGCTGCGAAGTGCTGATTAAATCTGCGTGCATACTGCTATCATTTGGCTATCTTGGATATTTTATATAAGATTTATTTTGTAAGAAAAAGTTTGAATTCTACAAATAATCAAAATTCTGTTAATTTTTATTAACTAAAAAACTTATTTTTATAAAAGATGTCACACAATTTTTTTATTTGTTTATTCGTGTGGTTACATTCTCCTAGACTACATCTTGCTCCGTGCATCGTTTCGAATTTTACTTATCGGAATTTTTGCGCTCTAGTAACCGCTCCATGGATTTGCTTCAATTGAGCATCATTGATCGTATCTTGGTGAAAAAAACGTTATTCTTTCTACCGAAGAATTTTTTCGTAACACGAACCTAATTAAATTTAGATAATATGAAATTAACTTCCATTTAAAAAAATAATAATTTGTACAGAAATAGATCGTTATATTAGAAATTTCCCAGATAGCCAAATGTGAAAACTCAATATGAAGCAAATCATTATATAGATTAAGTTGCTCGCCAATTGCTGTTGTGTTGTTTTTATTTAATGCAACGAAAATGTTTTTGTCAATTCAGTATCAATATGCTGAGTTTTATTATCAATCAATTGTTGTAGCCAATGTTTATGACATGTGAGTCAGCAATATGTGAGCAATATATGAGCAATAATTTTTATTCATAAGTTGAGAAAAATAATATAAGTTTATTGCCGATGAGTTGTTGAGAACTTGCTGTTATTATATTTTGAAAACTGTTGCTGGCAAGAACATACTGAAAAGAGGATACACTCTTTTGTTACATTGCTGAAAACATACGAGTAATATTTGTGGCAAGTTGCCAACAACTTGCACTCAGTTGGCTATCTGGGTTGTTTCTGATCATTCATCTTTCTTCGCATTGTCCCGTTGAAATGCCTGATAGTCGAACTAGATAGAAAAAAGAAGTGGTGCAATGCTATACCGCCGCAGCTTTTCTCTTTTGACGGACCTCTTTAGGAAAGTTGACGATCTCTCCTCCGTGTCTCTTAATGCATTCGTGCCACGAAGCAAAGCGTGTCGAGGACATCGTCTCCGCCGTTACTCGACAAACGTTCTGCTGTCCCTAATACGTATAGTTGTCAGCAGCGCGTACATCGCACAGCCTCCTCGCTCCGTTGGTAAGGCTATCGAATATGGACTGCGCACCCTTCTTTGCATCGTTTTTCTTTCTTTCTGTTTTGACCAGTTGTACGCAAAAAAAAAAAAAAAATAGCAACTCTTATCGCATTACTCAGCATCAAGACACGATCGCCGTTCTCTTTTCTTTTTCATTGATTATCGATCTCGGCGGTTGACTGGTTATCATCACCCCCCCCCCCCAGCTATGTTATAGACAGTTTATCGCTTGCGATGTCAATTGAAAATTTAATTCTGACACGCTTACTCGGTGAACTCGATACGAAGTGCAAGCAACATGCATTTCACGATATGCGATACCGCACGCACAAAATCTATTTTTATATACAGGGAATCAGGAAATTTGCACAAAAATATACATGAATCTCTGTCAAGGAATGTATTTCTAAATTTTTCATACGTCTTTCACAAAAATGATTTGTTTATATAATATTTGTTTATATAAACAGTTTACTCTATGTTAAATAATGAGACCTATGAAGTAGTTTCAAGCAGCTGAATAAATACATATAATTGAATTTGAAAAGAAAAGATAACATATTAATAATACATATTTAAAATGTATATCTTTAATAAATATATCCAAAGATATTTTTACAACAATTATGCAAATTAATATAAAATGAATATTCAGTGTGAAAATGTATAAGACAACTAGCAAACAATTGATGATATTATATGTAATATTATTGAAATAAAAAACAATAAGTGTTTCATAATATAGTATTATGTAGTAAATATGAGATTTACCTCATTATATATATATGTAGATTCGCAAAATACAAATTTGCGCGCACGCCAAAATTTATTCACAAGTTTTTTTTGTCATAATTAATGTTAACTTTCACGCATAATCTTGTAAAATATTCGTAGTAAAATAAATCAAATTTTCTCTCAATTTTTGTTTTTTTCGAAAGATTTTTTTGTAACTACTTTTATTATTTGTCATAGAAATACAAAACTTACAGATACCTCTTGAAACTATTAAAATACTTTTTATTCTGTGTGCCATGCACAGTGTAAAAAAATTCAATATACAACTCTATCTTAACGCTAACATATACACATTTTAAAAGTTTACGTGTATGTATATTCAATGAACTTATTAAATATAAGAAATATGTATATATATTAAACTTTTCTCGAGACTTTTTATGCAAATCGTATCTTCGATATAAATGTATACGAAACATCTTTAACAATCGGAAAAGTATATTTCTTTGACACTTGAAAATTTATACATTAGCGTTTGAATATTATGCATAAGATTCAATAGATTTGCATCTAATTCTCAAGACTTTTAACTAATAGACAAAACATGAATATACAAAAAAACCGAAGCTTCAAGAGTGATGATATTTTGATCTGAAAACTTAAAACGCATAACGGGTACGTATATCTTCGAGTTTTTTCGACACTTCGGACGGTGTTCTCTCGAGGTCGCCGGAAATACTTTTTTGTTTGGTGGGCTCGATCGAGTTGAACTGCTCGCAGAGATCGCCGTCAATTACGTTTTTTACAGGATAATAATATGATCGGAAAGACAAATGATCGCGACCGCACAACGGCGGGTGCTCGGATCGCATATGCATCTCCAGATGCTGAAAAAAATCGTGATCTTCGTGACTAGTAAACGGCACCAGCACGCCCACCGTGCCGCTGAGAGTTGTGTAGACTAAACTCTCGGAACCACCGGGTATGAGAGTTGCCTTTTGCAACGACATTACCGTCTCACCGACGTGAAAACAAGCAACTGTGTCCGCTTTCTGACTCGCACCGTTCAGTAACCCGCGGTCCCACAGTGCCTTATTACCGGTTGGATCTTCATCCACATCATCATTAATGCCAGATGCCAGTCGTATCTGTCAGAAAAGACACAATTCAGCAATTACACACTAAACGTTGAGACACATTTAAAAGAAAAAACTTACCACAGCTATGTTCCCAAATTTGTCGGCGGTAGCAACGGTATCGTAATCCAACACGCACGTGGTCGTGATCCACCTTGGATGCGTGTCGTCTGCGAAAACAATCAATTGATTCTCTTGACGCTTGTATCTCACAGCGTACACGGATTCTTGCACATCACTGACATAGATACGCTGACCAATAGCATTGATTGAGACCACGGCATTGGGGATGTGTTTGTTTTCGCACTTTCGCAATAACTTCTTCTTACCCATATCGTAAAGCCGCAGCATTCTTCCTACACCGACTAAAACGCGGCCTTGATATGGACAAATGGCTAAAGGTACTTCGTCTAGTAGGGATTTATGCTGCAGCTCGATGCTGGTGCCTTCTGAATTTACTCTGAAACCAGAACAATCAATGTTAATCACTTTTGTGTCGTGAATTATTGCAGTCAGCGAAAACATCATTTTTAACAGCAGTAGTCAGCACTGCGAAACTAACATCAAAATACAGATAGATACAGTTCTCATTTTTCAACACATGCGCGTGCACGCACGCACGCACGCACGCACGCACGCACGCACGCACGCACGCACGCACGCACGCACGCACGCACGCACGCAC